AGAACTACTTAGGGACAAAGCCATCGTTATCTTAAAACAAGCCTCGCTGAACAATGGTGGCCTGTGCTTTTGATCCCAGGACTGGGGAGATAGAGGCAGGCAGATCTGAGTTCAAGGCCAGTTTGGCCTACATATAGCCAGATCTACACAGAGACAAGCTCAAGCTGTCCCTGTGTCTTATCTTAGATTCCCAGTGTTCTAGGTATCACCTAGAGATTATACATATCACCAGACCGATGCCACCTACTGGTGGGTTTGTTTTGTGATAGTCTTACTATTGCTAGCTCATGACAACCTTGAATTCAAGATGCTCCTGTCTCAGGTTTTGAAGTATTGGAAAACTAGGATTATAGTGTGCACTTCCAATCATTAAGGCATTTGAGATGTGACCCAATGTTAAGAACTTTGTTTTGAGACAGTGTCTCTCCTGTGTAGCTCTGGCTGTCCTGGAACTCAACTCTGTAGAGCAGGCTGATCTCAAACTCAGAGACCCACCTGCATCTACCTCCCTGAGGGCATATGCCGCCACCACCGCCCAGCAAAAACATACTTTTTATAATCCCCTCAGTTAACCAACAGCTTGAGGAATAATACTTTTCTCTGTATCATTTCTTGTCCATTTAAACCTACAGCAGAATTGCAATTAGTTCTTGGGAAATATAATTACTAAAATCCCATTGGATAGGAAAGTTAACAGATAAAACAATGAAATAAATTAAGGGGATTAAATGCATCTTGGAGAAAAGTACAATTAAGTGTTTAGCACATGCTAGATATGGATCAGTTTAGAGTTCTGTTCTCACCCAGAGGATCTGGGCTTCATTTCCAGCATGAAGGCTCACAACTATGTGACTTCTGACCTCCAGACACTGCACACGTGGTTCAGAGACAAACATGCAAGCAAAACACCCACACACGTTTTTAAAATTTCTAGAAATTTCTATAAAGTTTTTAAAGCATATTGATTTTGCTGTTTTGAGACAGGGTTTCACTGTGTAGCTTTGGAGACTGTCCTGGCACTCACTCTGTATATGTGAGGCTGGCCTTGAACTTGGTGATCTGTCTGCCTCTGCCTCCCCGGAATTAAAGGCATGTGCCACCACCACCTGGCAGGCATGTTGATTTTTAAAGATTAAGACTAAATATAACTTGTGCTGAACCTTGAGGACCATTAATATTTGAAGCAGCAAGACTGCTAATGGGGAAATGTGTATATATGTATATATATATATATGTACATATATATATATATATATGACAGAAACAAACACACACACACACACACACACACACAGATATACAATAGCAAAACCAAAGATGGTCAGTTAGCATTCACATGTCAAAAGGGGACATGACATAACAGTGATAAAAACTGGAAAGGTAAAGTACAATTGACAAACAGGATAGCCAGAATGAAGGCTTCCCATTGAAATCAGATAAAACCCATCAGTAACAGACCTGGGTATACACAAGAATGCCGAAATATCAAGTGGTGATGTGAGACAAATTTAAGCAACAAATTTCCATTCTTATTTCAGTAACCAGATGTGGCACTTGGGAGGATTTCAAATTGAAAGTTGAAGTCCATCACATAGTGAGACCTTGTCACAAAGAAATAAAACCCCAGGGGCTGGAGAGATGGCTCAGCAGTTAAGAGCACTGGCTGATCTTTCAGAGGTCGTGAGTTCCACTGCCAGCAACCACCTCTAGTGGGATCTGATGCCACCTTCTGGCTTTAAGGTGTACATGCAGTTATAATTCATGCATGAAATAAATCTTAAAAAAATAAAGAGGGAGGGGGAGAGGAGAGGGGGGGAGAAGAGGGGGGAGGGGAGAAGAGAGGGGGGAGGGGGAGAAGAGTGGGGGGAGGGGGAGGGAAATGGGAGGCTGGGAGGAGGCGGAAACTTTTTTTTTCTTATTCTCAATAAAAAAAAAATGAAAAAAAAAATAAATAAAACCCCAGAACGAGTCTGGTTAAGTCAATAGACATGGTAGCACTGAGGTAAAGACAGAACTTGACTAGTACCTTGCTGAAATTTACTACTTTTCTGACTTCAGGGAGAAGCAATAGTTTGCTTTTAGTTGTTACAGTGTGTTTACTGTACAACTTACCATTTTCTGTTTCTAGTCTTAAAAACATGATTATCACACTATATATTCTGTAACTAAAATGTCTAGGACATGTTACTGTCACTGTTAGATAAATATATTTAAGAACAGGACTACAGTCACTTTTAGGTTTCCTTTGAGAGTTCAAGTAACTGACCCCTACTTGTTGTGACCTGAAAGTGACCCCAAACTTAAGTTCCTCTAATACTTCAAGAAACAATCTTGCCATGCCCTGACATTTCAGCAACCTAAATTTAGCCCTTCTTTTACTAAGAAATAATTCTATTTTATATAGAAATTTTTATAGAGTAGAGGTGAATAAGGGCAGTAAACACCCAGACACAGGCATAGGCTTCCTAAAAGGAATCATAACAAAGAGAATTCTGGGGTCCCAGTGGGGATTCAGAGTGCCTTTCACATGTTAAACTGATTCAAGGAAACCAAGCTCTGAACTAGGTCTCACTATAGACCAAGTTGGCTTTCAAACAGCAATCTTGCCAGTTTATCCAAATGCTCTAGAGTTCAAACTTGTAGCCCCATGTATAGTTTCCAGCACTTTTATTATGTACATTTGACCAGTGTTGTCTCAACTGCAAATATAATTTGTCCACTTACAATGTCTTGTTTACTGAGACTGAAGAGATGGCTCCCTTACAGACATACATGAAGACAAAGCACCAATGTACATAAAACGTAAATCATGGGCTGGAGAGATGGCTCAGAGGTTAAGAGCACTGGCTGTTCTTCCAGAGGTCCTGAGTTCAATTCCCAGCAACCACATGGTGGCTCACAACCACCTGATCTGGTGCCCTCTTCTGGCCTGCAGGGATATACATGCAGGCAGAACACTGAATACATAATTAATAAATAATAAAAATTTAAAAAAATAAAAAGTAAATCATGTCTTTTTCCAAGTGGTAGGTTAAGTTGCCTACTCTTCCAAAGGTCCTGAGTTCAATTCCCAGCAACCACATGGTGGCTCACAACCATCCGTAAGGAGATCTGGTGCCCTCTTCTGGCCTGCAGGCATACATGCAAACAGAATACTGACAATACTGTGTACATAATAAATAAATAAATTAAACAAAAGGAAACAAATTTGTGTCCTTTCCTCTGTGGGCTATGGGGGAGTTGGAGTGAGAAAAGCTTATGGTAACAGACTTTCATGATTGCTCATGATTACAGTTAGAAAATCTATCCAAACCATCTAACTTCGTAGATTGATACTGTAAAGGGATTGCAGTAAAGCTTGTTTCCTGCTTTGTGGCAGAGCTCCCTCTTGTGGCCAAATGATTTATTACTAATAAAAGCACTGTAACAAGCCATGGGGACACTAAAGTCATGTCTCTGGTGAGTAACATCACCATGAAGGGATCCTATGTCTCTCACAGATCCCTTCATGGTGATGTTACTCACCAATAGCTTACAGTCATTACATTTTATGGTACAGAAATCAAGAGATGTTTACTGCCTCCATCTCCCCCACCCCCATTTTTTTTTTTTGAGACAGGGTTTTATGTAGCTTTGGCTGTCCTGGAACTCACTCTGCAGACCAGGCTGTGGGCTTCAATCAAACTCAAGGTATCCCATCCATCCACCTGCCTCTGGCTCCCAAAGTGCACTACCACTGGTTTTTTTTTTTTTTTTTTTAAGATAAAGCAGTTGGCTTAACTCTTTGTTTACCTAAATGGGAACTTCCATCAACAGCCATGCATGACTTGTGTTTCCTCTAAGACACTGACACTATCAAAATGTAAGTCTGGGGCTGGAGAGATGGCTCAGTGGTTAAGAGCACTGTCTGCTCTTCCAGAGGTTCTGAGTTCAATTCCCAGCAACCACATGGTGGTTCACAACCATCTGTAATGAGATCTGGTGCCCTCCTCTGGTGTGTGGGCATACATGGAGGCAGAATAATAATAATAAATAATTCTTTTAAAAAAAGGAAGTCTGAAGTTGCAGCTCAGTAGTAGAGACCCTGGGTTCAAATCCTCAGTACACCAAAAAGTGATATTTTTCTGCCTCTGGAGGTTTCTAAAATTAACTTGTACTATTCTATCCTATTTTCTGTGTACTGTGAAGCCGGGCGGTGGTGGCGCACGCCTTTAATCCCAGCACTCAGGAGGCAGAGGCAGGCGGATCTCTGTGAGTTTGAGGCCAGCCTGGTCTACAAGAGCTAGTTCCAGGACAGGAACCAAAAAGCTACAGAGAAACCCTGTCTCAAAAATCAAAAAAAATACCCTTTGATAAAGCACAACAAAATTCTGAATTACCGAGCAAAGCTTTCAAAATTAAAAAAACATTCTGAAGTTTTCAATCATGGAACTGAGTGGTTTAAATATGCTGTTAATCTCTTTTCTCTAAAGCAAAAATTATTTTTACAAGATTTATTCAACAATCACAGTAAAACTTTTCATGTCAACTTCATTCCAATCTTACAGAACTAGAATGGGCAAGGTTCCTGAGACTGAAAAGGAGTTGGGGAGATGGCATATCTGTTAAGAGCACTCACTGCTTTTTTCAGAGGACCCAGGTTCTGGTTCCCAGCACCCAGCAGCTCCCAACTGTCCAGTCTCCACCTCTAGGGGAGTCCAGTGTTTTCTTCTGGTATCCAAAGGCACCACTCACACACAGAGCAGTTACATACAGGAAAAACACTCAAACACAGAAATACAAAAACTTAAACCAACCAAAAAAAAAAAGAAAGAAAAAACCCCTTCTGGAACCTAAATACCTACCCTTAGGAGCACTGTACTACATACATACTGGGTGGCTGAATATTCCCTTCCATGGAGTAAAGCAGTCTGCTAGTGTTAACTATATAGTAAGATGTGGGTTACACCTTTTCCTCTATACCTGGTTCAGTCTAAAAGGATGGAGAACTTAAATCTCAATAAGGGTTTCAAAGTAACAGCCTTTTATTCACTCCCAAAATTACATACAGCAGCGTTAATCCTCCACAATACTAGTACAATTCTACATTCAACTCCTTGCCCACCCAGGAGAGATGTATGAGATTCACGGTTTTCATACTTTACATGAGGCTTTTATCCATATACCTTATATAAACACCTTCAACATGTCTAAGCAACTTTGTAATGAAGAATGCACTAGTATTTCTGCTGGCAAACTCATTAGTGACACTAATTATACAATGAAGGTATTCTGGCCAGATTTTTTACATTCAATTGGCTCGACAAAAACAATCCCTGGTACTCATGGTTTTTAAGATTTCAAAATTGTAGATTGTCAATCGATCTTCAAATCATGATAGAAATAAGCCAAAACTGGTTACAACAGAACTCAGTCTAATACTTTCTCTCCTTTTAATACTAAATATATTTTATTTCATTTGTAAATTTAACTACAAGTTTCATATACAAAGCAAAAAGGCAAACACCAAGAATTGACCTCGACCACAGGAAGCTGAAAATAACACCAACCCTACAAAACCATGTTCATAGACAAAACTAAGAAAAGCTGATCTTAGAATTTATCACATTCAACTCCAGAATTAAGATGGGCGGATATATAAACATTCAAAATTACTAAAAAGCTGGGAGGGGGGACCATTCCAAGAGAAAATTATTCATTCCAAACTTTAGTTGTTAAAATTTAGACCCCAAACTAGGTATCAAAATGTCTTACCTTTGTCTCCAGTAGGATGAGCTGAACAGCAAGCTGGGTTATTCAACCAGATGTTATGCAAAGTACTTGCTTAAAGAGATTTAAGTGCTTTCTTGGTTAGAAAAACTAATCATAGGGTCCCTACAATATCCTAAGGGAACAGAGAAGGGGAAGGGGTGGAAATCAAGGTAGTATTTTTATTTCCAAAACGGCATAAATTGTCAGTATGGGTATAGGTCTATTTCTTAAGACTTAAAACTTACTGTACTTTTCAAACACTGTTCTCTAGTGTTCAAACCCAAGAGATACATAGTCTTATAAAGGCAAAGAATACTTTTTATTCATTTCAATCTAGGGCTGAACTACTTAAAATAGATAACCTTCATTTAATAGAGGCCATTTCTTGGTCCTGTTTCCAAAGCACTCAAAATAGCCAATTTGCCTGTATTGAGCTCATATTTGCCTTTCAAAATTATTTTAGTAAACTAGGCATAGTAGTTCATTCATAATTCAGGAGTTTGGTAGACTAGATTGCTTTGGAGTGGGAGCCCAGCTTGGGCTACATACTGAATTCTAGGAAAGTCTGGACCAAAGCAAAGCCACACAAAGAAAAAAAAACAGAATCCATTTGAGAACTTTCCTGATCATACAATGTACTTAAAAACATATTCATTTAAATTTTCAATCACATATTTATGCTAATTCTCTAGAATTATTTTCAAAAGCAAATTTATGCTTAGTTATGTTTTGAATTCTCTTAACTACAGCTACTTAACCTTAATGAGTCTACACTAAAGTGAAATCCTGGTTTTGAACTTAGTTTATCTATCACTTTACCAGGACAGTCTTTAAAAATGTGTAAGTTGTGTGACCTTATGCAAATTTCTTGAAGCCTATGCCTTTCATATTAAAATTCTGGTCTTCCCCTAAATTTTCTTATACCCGACTAACCTTAAATTCAGCCAGCAACCCAAAGGAAAAGTTAAAAATCTAGCTTCTTCCATTATGATACTGAAGAGTGATTTGTTCATTCTAACTATAAGGAAATCACAAGCTTGGGATTTTAAATAAAAGTACCATACTCCACTCCAAGCAAGATGAAGATTCAGCTTTACAGGAGCTAACAGAGAGATAACACTAGACTAAGATATAATTGCTGACTTAGTACAGATCACTAAGTTTGGGGACAGAATACTCTTTATGGCTGAAAAGCTTTACAAGACATATTGATTCACCCTATAAGCAGTTAATATGTCAGCATACTGTCCACAACTCAAAAAGATCAGTGCTGCTTTCTACTACCCCTGCTGATGTTACTAATGAATTTGAGTGTCACCAAAGATTTCAAAAGCTACCTTCAACATCAAAACTTACTAGCCATCAACCAATTTTGTACAAAAACCTATTTTGTCTAAAGTATTACCAAAATAAACAGTACCTATAAGTTCTTAATCATACTTTAGCAAAATATGAAAGCTTAATTTCCAGACTATTAACCCCTACATAAGTGTACTACATACATGACTGCCTCACACTCAGTTTATTATCCCCTTAAGACTTCCACAACAGTAAGAGACAGTTATTATCGTTTATTAGATTAATATCTTTAATTACTAACAACACATAAACAAGTCAGAATTTATCAATTTAAAGAAATAGCTGATACACTAGTTACCCAGCAAAATTTTACATGAAGAGGAAAAAGGACAACCATGCATCGTTTTTTAAAAAATGTTTATTTTTTCAAAGAAAAACGGCAATAGCCAATTGGAAACCTACTTATTCTTTCAACTCCAATTTTGTTTTCTTTAAATTTAGAAGTGACTTACTGATTTACTATTTTAAACAAACCCCCCCTTTCCCCTTTAAATGTTTACCATCTACTCGTGCTGAATCCTTCCAAGGAGATTGCTCCAGCGTTTATCTCCAGGTCCTCGCTTTGCTCCTTTTACCAAAAAATGCAAAACACAATTCCATCGTGCATCTTAAGGGCTCCAATCGTCAAAAATAGGAAAAAAACTCTTTGGAATAGCCAATTAAGTTGAATGAAAAAAAAATCCACACGAATGCGGTTTGGTTGGGGCAGGAAGGAATCCACTCCTATGTTCCTGGTAATCTGATCCCGCTCCATGAATCCTGGTAATTCATCCTCCCTATCCTATCCACATTATGATTTGAATCCAATGATCCAGCTCCAAGGATTGGGATCCAGTGAGCCCTCTCCAATCCAAACCTTTATAACCAGCAAAACCAAAAAAGAGGAGGCAAAATGTTAGATACTGTAATCAAAAAAGGTTTCTGGGGAATGATGAGTTATGTCTGTCATCAGTTTAACAGATGTACATCAATAACTATCAAATTCCCCAAAACAAGTTTCTGTATGGTGTTTAGATAAATTTTAGAAACTTAATCATTACAGAGACTAACTGGAAGAAGCACTTTATATTTACACTTCAACTGATAATGCCAACACTTGTTACTGTACAGGTATCACGTTTTGTGGTTGCAAAGTTATGTAATTGAAGTTTACTGGTATTGCTACCCACCTAAGACTAAACTAAATCTATTGCTCCCGTCTGCAATTTAGCTTGTAAATTAAAGTGTTTTAAACACGAGTCAATTATGAATAGTAAAAGGGAAGGCGAGACTTAAAGTACTCCCAACTAGATTATCTACACTAATACGTTGGAATTCTATATTCTGCTGTCATTTTGTCTTTAAAAAATGAAATAATAACGCTCTATCAGTCACACAGAGGACATGCAGATTTAGCAGTATTGATATTATACTCTGTTTGGAAATAGACACCCTGTACCCACATGTACACCAACAGCAGGTCACACATTAACAGTTGTAACTAAGCACTGACAAATTAGCCATTCTTCCCACATTAGTCCCTATTAAAACAAAAAGGGGGGAAGGGAGCAAATAATTGTTACAAAATGGGCAATTTTGCCACAATTGCCAAGGTTTAAAAAGCAAAGCAATTGTAGCTAGAAATAACCGCATAAGATGCTGATAAAAATTTTAACCCTTGTCTTTTAGTATAAGGTCAATACTGCCAATTTCATCTGTGACAATAGCACTTGGAGTCATACCATTGCCTCCATTATTGATCTGATCCTCCTCAATCCTCCTTTTGACAATCCTAAAATGATTGAAATGTGCTCCACAATCCTTAATCCAAAGCATTCTTAATCCATCTCTTCAGATATGTCTACAGAAAGACACATGAAAAGCAAGATAAACATAAGAACTTCCCCAAGTAAGATAACCACAAACACCCCCAACATCCCATTTCACACAAACCAGAGCAGAATAGACATTTACACAATATCACAGTCTGAAGAGCATGGAAATTAACTAAATTTAAACAATCCTGTCTATGACATCACTTAAAATACAATTTACCAAGACATGAGGGGAATGTAGATGTTAGGAGCAAGGGGGTATTACATAAGAATGCAATTCAACACTTTAGCCCATTCTGAACAAAACAGTTTGAATTAAAAAAATGAAAAGATTGTACTGAGTAAAGGAAAACTGTATACAACATGGGTTCTACAAAAAGTGTCACCAATCATCTATGTACGAGAGCGAGATCTGCTATGACGGGGAGAATAGCGTGGTGATCCTCTGCTTCTCCTTGGGGAGTAACTGCGACTCCTGCTGTTGCTTCTGCTACGGCTTCTGCTACGACTACGGCTTCGAGATCGAGATCTTCCATAACTTGGACTTCTGGGCCCATCAACTTTAACCCGGATGTAGGCAGTTTCTCCCTATTGGATAGACAGAACTTTCCATTGAAAGATCTAAGCTTTCACCTGTCTTCAGACATGCTGAATGAATACAAAGACAGACAGACCAGGTCTCTGGTAATTTATGTGGACGCCCTTGCCTGTATCCTTACCTTCAAATTCCACTGTTAAGAACACTGTATCCAATTCTGGTCAAAGAAAAGAAAAGTGTATAACCTACCTCATGAGATCTAAACTTAGTGTTATCCAGTTTTCGAACTGCATACGTCATATCTTCTTTCCGTACAAACTCCACGACACCAGTGCCATCTCGGTAAACATCAGCATAACATACATCACCTGCTTCACGCATGTGATCCTTTAAGTCCTGCCAGCTTCCACTCGGAGGCAGTCCTGCAAAAGTGATTTCCCCCCACTTAATGAGAATTACCCTGCTCCACGCTAACTGTATTAATGTCCATCACAGCAAAGATTATTTTAAAATACTTAATGAGTGTACTTAAGTGTTTCCACGTAAAGAGCTGGTAAGAGTCTGAGATCCAGAGTCCAAACTTATTTGTAAAGGATCTTCATAGGCTAGTACTGCAACCTAATTTGGGTAAATCACCACCACAGTAATCTTTATTTACTAAATTCACCCCCAAGACCGAAAAGCCGTTTTACGAGCCCGGGTAAAAGGAAAAGAAGGAAAGGAAAACAAAAACCCAAACACCAAAACCTGTAGTTGTCAGACCAGTCTCGCGGGGAGAATTTTAACCCCCAAGGAGTCCACTCACCAGAGACAACCACTCTGTTCTCCGAGCGCCTGGATGGCGGGCCATAGCGGCCTCTCGGAGCTCCGCCGCCTCCACCCCCGCCGCCGCCTCGGCCGGTCCCGCGGCCGCTTCGAGGGAACTCTACCCGCAGACGGTAGCCGTCGTAATCGTAGCCGTCGCGCCCGTACACCGCATCTTCCGCGTCTCTGCGTGAGCACAGAAGGCGAAGGGGATGAGGAGGAGGAAGAGAGGGACCGGCGCCGCCAAGCTCCAGGCGCTCGGGGAAGCCGCGGGGGGACCGGCGCACATGCGCACCCCAGACGGCGCCGGAGCCCACATGCGCTGCATAATAGGGCCGGCCCCTCCCCCACCCAGAACCACGCCGGGCAGACTCCCGACCACCACGCCAGCCCTCAGCGCCTCAGTTTCCCGCTCCGGGGGCTGCGCATGGGCTCTGGGGACGTCCGAGGCGGCCGGCCACCGGAGACAGCACGCCGACTCGGCTCCTTGCTCGACTCCTGCAGGGGCGATAGCGCCTCGCTCCCGGCCTCGGAGCCCCTCCTCTCCCCCCCACCCCCATAATGTGAAGGCCTCGAAAGCCTTGCCCAACTACGCCAGCCTATGTCCTCAAGGCCGCAAGCCCCACGCTGCCTCACCGCGGGTCCTCGAACTCAACGAAGGCGAAGGGCGGTCCCCCGCGGCGGTTCTTCAGGTCGATGTCGCGGATGGCGCCGTATTTGTAAAACACGTCCTCAATGTCCTTGGTTCGGATGTCTGGAGGTAGGTTACCCACGTAGATGCGGCAGTCGTTGTTCCCCGCCGGGCCACGAATCACACCACCTCCTGACATGGCGGCGACGAAAAGCGCGGACTCGAGAAGAGGCCTTCCCACCAAGCCTAGCGTACGGCAGAGCGAGCCCTGAGCGGCACCACGTCTCCCGCGGCCCCGTCCAAAATGGCGCCTTTATCAGCTCGGCGCACTGATATGGGGGGGAGGGGGGGAGGAAGAGAAGCCGGAGGAAGCTGCGCGTCCGTCGCAGTACGCACGCGCACGGGCGTAACGGGTGCAGAGAAGTACGCTCGCGCAAGCGCGACGTCACCCTCCGCACGGAGGGGAAAAAGTCCCTCGCGTCCCCGGCTGGCGGAACGATTGGTCCGCGAGGCGGCTAGACGTTTGGTAAAAATTTACATACTGCGGAGGAAGGGGCTGTTAATCCCTGCTGAGTCGAGGCTAACCGGGCTCCTCAGGAGGAAACCGGCTTTGAAAGCAGCTCGGCGCTTTGAAAGGATTTGATGAAACCTAGCCTGCAGCCGAGTCCCGCCATGCTCCGCGGTGCTAACGGCCTTTGGCGGGAAAGGCGCCGGGGGCGGAGCCAGATGATGCTGAGCTGTTGCTCCGGAAACCTGCGCTTCGTCGGCGCTTCGGCTTGGTTGGCGGAGTGGCAGGTGATTGGTTTCAGAGCTCGGGCGGAGCTGTTGTCTGGTGTTTCTGCTAATCTGCGGTGGGCTGCGTTTTAGACCGTTAGAAAAGTGTCTAGGCGGATCCTTACCAGCTTCCCGATTGAACCCTGCCTTCGGTGTTTCTCTTCCTTCTTTCAAAGGATGAGAAAGGAAAAGTAGTAAAATATATGCAAGGACCGTAACTACTAGAGACAAGGGTTACATCTCAGGTCCGAGATCCGGCTTCTGTGCTAGACTAGGGAGTTAAGAACTTTTTTGCATTTTGTCTGAAATCAGGATATTTATATTGGATACCACGATTTTGTTTCTTTGTTTTGTAATCACGGGAATGGAATTTAGGGCCTTTTGTGTGAAATCATACAGGTTTTCAATGTTGTTAATGGATTCGAATTGGAATAAAAGCAAAACCAAGCAGAACTTGGTAACTTGTGATTTCAATTTCATAACTCCGGAAACTGAGACAGGAGGATCCATGTTAGCCTATGATACACAGTTCCAGGTCGGCAGGAGCCATGCGGGGAAACCCTTTAGATTAAAAAATTGGAAAAAAAATAAAGCCAAAGCCTTTTTTGTTGCTCTGTGTGTGTGTGTTGTTTTGTTTTACGACGCAGGATTTCTCTCTGTAGCCCTGGCTGTCTTAGAACTTGCTCTCAGACTGACCTGGAACACAAGAGATCCACCTGCCTCTGCCTCCTGAGTGCTGGGGGATTAAATGTTTGCACCACCATCTCCATTCTAAAATCAGCCTTTCATAGTCAAAGTATACATAAAACATCCAGAGGTGATGGTGTGTCTTTAAATTCCAGCATGTGGGAAACAGAATCTCCAAGTTCGAGGCAACAAGAGCTACGTAGACTTGACTCAAAAATAGATAAGCTAAATCAGATCCCCACTGGTTTTAAGGGTGATCTTCTGCGCTGTTATTTTTGGTTTTTACTAAATTTTTGTTTTGTGCATATTCTGTATCAGACACCGTGGCACACCTATGAAAGTCAGAAAATGAGTCAGTTCACCCTCCACCCCTACCGTGTGAGCCCCGAGATGAAACTGGAGGCTTTGGAAGAGCACCCTCACTGCATGAGCCGTCCTGCTGCCCTTTACGTTATTGATCATCTACAGCAGTCCTGAAATGGAACTATTAAATATTAAGACTGGCTGAAGAAATCAAGGCAATGAGAGTGGGGAGGGGCAGAGGCAGAGGGGTTTCTAGGCAAAATGCCTGAAGTGAAAACCTATGGAATTCCTGGGAGAAACTACAAATTTGACTAAAAGTCACAGTAAAGAAAGGAACACAGTATATGCAAAATTTTAAATGACTTTAAATGCAAATAAACAGTTCAAGAAAGGACCATTTTTTTGTTGTTGTTCTTGATAGTCATAAAAGCTAGTGGAAGTGTGTTGTTTGTTTTTTTGTTTGTTCGGTTTTGGTTTTTTGGTTGTTTTTTTTTTTTTTTTTTTTTTTGGTTTTTCGAGACAGGGTTTCTCTGTGCCTTTGGAGCCTGTCCTAGAACTAGCTCTGTAGACCATGCTGGTCTCCAACTCACAGAGATCCTCCCTGCTCGGTTTCTTTTGTTGTTGTTGTTGTTGTTTGTTTGTTTGTTTGTTTGTTTTGGTTTTTAGAGACGTGGTTTCTCAAAAAAGCCAGTCCTGGAACTCACTCTGTAGACTAGGTTGGCCTCAAATTCACAGAATCTCTGCCTCCCTAGTGCTAGGATTAAAGGCGTGTTCGGTGAAATGAATTTTATTATAAGGCATGGTAGCCCACATCTGTAACCCCAGGCCTCAGGTGGTTAATGAGGAAGATAATGAGCTCATGGGGAGTCTGGGTTACATATGAGACCCTGCTGCAGAAAACATGTTTAGTAAAAGTCTTGGTAAAATACAAACGGAATTTGAAATGATCAGAGATACTTGTTGAAATGTTGGGGAAAGTGGAGATTGTTTGGTTTCGAGTCAGGGTCTCCTGTAGCTTAGGCTGCCCTTTAACTTGCCGTGTTAGCCCTCCTACCTGAATGATCAGCTTGAAAAGTGAAATTTTTGATAAGTCCTTAAACTATGTGTGGCTAGCCCATATTATTTATCATCTCAGCACTTGGAGAGGCTGGGGCAGGAAGAAGGAGTTCAAAGTCAACCTCTACTGTATGTATTTCCAGTTAAAGACTGGGCTGATCTATGGGAGACACTGATTCAAAAGTATGCTGAGGCATGCCTTTAATCCCAGCACTCATGAAGCTGAGGCTGACTGGGAGTTTGAGGCCAGACTGGTCTATGTTGTGAGTTCCAGGACAACCAGGGCTGTGGGGGGCGGGAGGAAGGAATGGAACTGAGGTTCTCTGCTTTTGGTTTGGTTTGGTTTTTCTAGACAGGGTTTCTCTCTGTAACAACCCTCTCCTGTCCTGGAACTCTCTCTGTAGACCAGGCTGGCCTTGAACTCAGAGATCTGCCTGCCTCTGCTTTCTTACTGCTGGGATTAAAGATGTGAGCCAGTATGACCTGGCTCCCCCCCCCCCCCCCCCCCGTTGTTGGTTGTTTGTTTTAAGATTTTTTTAAATCTGTGTATGTATTTGTGCAAGCACCAGTACAAGTGCCTATGGAGACCAGAAGAGGACATTGGGTCCCCTGGATCTGGACTTACAGGAACTTGTGAGCTACCCAAGGCAACTGGGAACTGAACTTGGGTCTTCTACTCATCCACTGATCCATCTCTCCAATCCCTACTTTTGTTTTGTTTTTTGTACAGGGTCTCACTCTGTACACCAGGCTGGCCTCTGCCTCCCAGGTGTTGGGATTAAAGGCGTGCACCATACACTTGGCTACATTTATTTATTCTTTTATGTGTATGGGAGTTTTGGCTGTCTGTATCTATATACCATGTGTGTACAGTGCCCTTGGATACCGGAAGAGGGCGTTGGGTCCCCTGGAACTTGAATTAACAACTGAGTATGAGCTGTGTTCATGTGGGTGCTGGGATTGAACCAGGATCCTTTGGAAGAGCAGCCAGTGCTCTTAACCATCTCTCCACCCCTCTCATTTTAAATAAATATTTAGTTTTGCAATGTTGACGATTGAGCTCACAGCCTTGGGCATGATAGGAAAGTATCACTTGCGCTCTTTTTAAAACAGCTTTTAGTTAGCATGTATTAATTAGTTAGGGTCTTTGTTAGACTTCGCTGTGCTTGTGAGTCATGTGTTTTGGCCACATTCATTCCTCCATTAACTCCTATCCATTCCCATTCTTATGTATTCCTTCCCTCTTCCCAGCCAGTCTTCCTTCTACTTACATGTTTATTTCAGAGATTTAATTTTTATTATTTCTTAATTATGTGTATATGTGTGTTTGTGAACATGAACACAAGCACCCTAGGAAGTCAGAGATGTTGGACTTCCTGGAGCTGTAATTATGGGTGGTTATGAGCCACCCACTGTGGGTGTTAGGAACAACTTTGGTCCTCTGGAAGAGCAATATATGCTCTTTAACCACTGAGCCCTCTCTTCAGCCCTCTTTTTATTTTAAAATTTTATTTACTTATTTTTGGTGACTCACTGAGTTTCTTTAGTATAGCTTACAGGAGCATAGGGACCTTATCAGTCTCTCCCCAGCATTTATTAACTTCCTAGACATTGTCTGGGAGTAGGCTATATAAGCCCCTTCCATGAAAGAATGTTGATAGTAATAACCTTGTACAGCTCTTCACAGTGGCTGTGATGTTCTAGAATGCAAGATCTGGGGCTGGAGAGATGGTCTAGTTTTTAGGAACACATGCTGCTCTTGCAGGGGACCCAGATTTGGTTCCCAGCCCCCACACTAGGCAGTTCACAACTGCCTATAACTCCAGTTCCAGGGAATTGGACATCTCCCTATGGTATCTCAGGGCACTGTACAAATGTGGACCACTGTATACATGTGGTGTAATACAAAAACTTGGGCACTGGAAGACAGTGGTCCACAACATTCCACACTTCCTCCAGCTCTTCCATTCTTATCACCCATCCCCTATTCTTCGATGTTCTCTGAGCCTTAGGTGGGGGTGATATAGATGTCTCATTTATGGCTGAGCATTTGACACTCTTCTTTTTTTAAAGATTTATTTTATGTTTATGAATGGTTTATCTGCATGTACACCTTTATGCCAACAGAGGGCATCAGATTCCACTATAGATAGTTGTAGGCCACCATGTGGTTGCTGGGAATTGAACTCAAAACTTCTGGAAGAACAGCCATTGCTCTTCACTGCTGAGCTATCTTGGGATCTTCGACACTTATTCTTTGCACTGTGACCAGTTCAGAGTCTCTGTGTTTCCTACTGACCACTGCCGAAAGCAGCTTCTCTGACTGAAGCTGGCAGTATGAATCTGTAGGCATAAACCTAGAAGGCAATTTAACAGGGCATCATGTACATTTAGCAAAATGCCAGTGTCGTCCCCCCCCCCCCCCAGGCTTATCGTCACCCAATGACAGTCATTAGACCAGGTTTGTATACCGGGTGTAAGTTACCCCCTTTGCCCCAGTGGAGGCCTCACATCTAGAGCTGCCATGGAGGGCACCTCTTCCCTGTATTGTAGCCTTCACCACCCATGGCTCTTGGTGACAGTTCTGATATGGGAGTCCCCTCTGTATGTTGCAATTACCATTAATGAATAAAGAAACTGCTTTGGACCTATAACAGGGCAGAACTTAGCTAGGTGGGAAAAACTAAGCTGAATGCTGGGAGGAAGAAGGGCAGAATCAGAGAGAAGCCTTGGAGCTGCTGCCAGAGACAGATGTGCTGAAACTTTTCTGGTAGGCCACGACCTCATAGTGATGCACAGATTAATGGAGATGGGTTAAAATTAAGATGCCTAAGCTTACCGGGCATCCAGGAACCAACAAGTGACCTCCTTACTACACAGTTCTTCCCCAGCAGCCTGAATAGCACCTTCCTGCACTATGAGGACTAGCCAGTAGGGAGGAAGCTCCCAGTTCAGTTCCAGCTTGATTTCTCTGCTGTGAGCAGAGTCTACTACTGTGTTGTCAGCAATAGGGACTTACCATCTCATCTAGTGCTGGTAGGCAGCCAACAGCAGTGGCATGGCCTGTCTTGTTTTGGGGGCCTCAGGGACTAACTTGACCCATAGCCATACCAGGAGTAGCCAACCCCTGGTACTTAAAAATTTATTTTTTAATTAGCTTACCAAGCATTAGGTTTCTTCATGACTTGTAAAAATATATATCCTCAGCTTTAATTATTTTTTTTGTTGTTGTTGTTGTTGAGACATGGTTTCTCTGTGCAGCCATGGCTGTCCTGGACTCAACTCTGTAGAGTATGCTGGCCTTGAACTCAGAGTTCCACCCACCTCTACAGGTGTGCACCACCACCACTACTCGGCCCTTATTTCTTTTTTTCTTTTTTAATCTGCCTTCCATTTTATTTGGCCCTTATTTCTTAAAGATACTGTAGAAAGTCGAGCAGTGGTGGCGCACATCTTTAATCCCAGCACTTGGGAAGCAGAGGCAGGCGGATCTCTGTGAGTTAAAGGCCAGCCTGGTCTACAAGAGCTAGTTCCAGGGCTGGAGAGATGTCTCAGTGGTTAAGAGCATTGCCTGCTCTTCCAAAAGTTCTGAGTTCAATTACCAGCAACCACATGGTGGATCACAACCATCTATAATGAGATCTGGTGCCCTCTTCTGGCCTGCAGGCATACATGCAGACAGAATTCTGAGAATACTGTATACATAATAAATCAATGAATCTAAAACAAAAAACACAACAAAAAAAGAGCTAGTTCCAGAACAGGCTCCAAAGCTACAAAGAACCCCTGTCTCGAAAAACTATTAAAAAAAAAAAGTATCTGATGCCCTCACATGAATGTACATGAAAAAAATCAATAAATTATTTTAAAAAAAGGATATTATAGATTAAGTGAACTAAAAGTTCTCACAATTACTTTTCTAAATTTACTTGCAGAGATTACCCCAAGGCTTATTTAATGAATGACCATCTCGATGCTAGCAAACTAGGGATTTATGGCCTGTTGTGTAATCCCTGTGAATTAAAAATGTTTGTTATAGTTTCAGTGGTTGGGAAAAGATCAAAGGAATATTTTGTGGCATAAAAATCAAAGTTCATTGTTCATGTGTAGTTAGGATGAAACCACATCCTCTTCTTTACATATCACTTAGATCTGACTTTAGGCAACAAAAGGGAAGTTGAGTAGTGACAACCTAGATTGCATGGCTACAAGGCTGAAATACTTACTCTCTGGCCCTTTTATAGAATAAGAGGAAAAGAACGTCTTTTGTAATTTTTACTTAATTCAAATATTCAGCTGTATCGTGTGTCATGCCCTGCCTCCCTTGTTGATGTTCTTG